AAATCGAATACACATCGATGCAGGAGGAACTTTGAGTTTGAGTTCTGCATTAGGAGTATTTGATTTAAAACAAAAGATGCAGAAAGGGTCTTTTCTCTGGATTGTCTGGCCATAATGCAAACACTACCACAGACTTAAGGTCAACAGGGAGTCGTGGGGTGCATGTTTTCCGATTTGTTTTCTACCAGAATATAGACTTGCTAAATTACATCTTCTGCAAGTTCCAACAACTTTTGGGACTGTTTTCCCCACTGACCCAGTCTCTTGCATCTCAGCACCATTGAATGAACTTTCTGGTCTAATGATGTTTGAGTGAACACTGTTGATGGATCCAGATCCACGCTCTTTTCTTCTTGTGTTCTGGGACACTGAGATGTTCTCATTGGTTTTGTACAATTAGATGGGATTGCAATAGATCTATTGCACATACTTAGGAAAAATGAATTTGCATGTGTTTTTTGACACTGATTACTGCATCTATGATTTTTATCATCATTGTGGTTTTCTTAAAGCTCCAGCATCTTGGACTTATGTGAGATTGTTAACAGAAAACCTTTTTAGCTAATGAAGTTGCAGAGACATGTAAAAGTGCATTCTAAACACTACAGCATAAAGTGAATAAAAAGACTGTAAAATTTCATGATTTCTGGGAGATTGTAATACAATATTTTTGAATAGTTAAAAGTTCGGAATACTGTTTCTCCTTTTTAAATGTCTTTTTCAGTCCTCACAGTATTTAATTTTATCTTGTGCCTTTTCCTTTCTCTGAACTTGTTTCTTACTCATTTAAATACTTGTTTCTCTTCCTTACTCTGCCTTTTTTTCTGTACATGCTTTAATGTTTTCTTCTAAAATTTACTTCTGTAGTCTTTCTGCCTCGTTAATCCCTTCCCTCCCTTCCTCCTCCTCTTTGATGTTTGTGCCACGGTCTTCATCCGTTTCCCAACAGGCTTCTCTTAACTCTCACTGCATGATAAAGCAGTGGGCCAATTAGCCCACGAACAAGGTTTTCCCTCCATTCCTTGTACAAATCCCCGACGCACGGGGAGATAGCGCTTTAGAGACTGGATGTTTCCATTTGCAGCTGCAGCAGAGCTAATGGAGCCACGTAGCCCGGAGAAGGACTATAACATAAAAAGCCTAGGGGTGCGGCGCGGCTGCCCTGCTTCCAGCACGTCTCCAGGCTAATGCCAGGGGTTTCATTTGTGCAACTCGCTTTATCCCCTCATGAGACTGCTCTTCAGAGAATATTTCAAACACCAGTTCTATAAAAAGCCTGATGACTCAATCGTTCACATATGTAAGTCAGAAAGGCTGCTCCCGAGGTTGAGCGAGATGAGGCGTGTGAAGGGGATCTGGGGTGTGATCCTGGTGCCACTGGGGCTCACATGGGCTCGGAGCGGCCAACTCATTCAGGGCTTCATCCTTCCCGACACCAGGAGCACTCAGCTCCAATCCAGGATTGTGTGTAATTTCTCAGCAAGTGCATACTCTCAGAATGAAGCAGGGAATCTTTCAGTCACAACTGGAAGCCAAGGCATAGGTGAATCACAGAATCTTCTAGGTTGGAAGGGACCTTAAAGATCATCTTGTCCAACCGTCAACCTAACTGACAAAAATAGACACCCGCACAACAAACAAGGAGCATCACCATCACTAAACCATACTGCCCAGCACTACATCAGCCTGTCTTTTGAACACCTCCAGGGATGGTGCCTCAACCACCTTCCTGGGCAGCCTATTCCAATGCCTGATAACCCTTTCAGTGAAAAAATTTTTTCTTAATATCCAGCCTGAACCTCCCCTGGCGTAACTTGAGGCCATTTCCTCTCGTCCTGTCGCCTGTGACTTGAGAGAAGAGACCAACCCCTGCCTCTCTACAACCTCCTTTCAGGTAGTTGTAGAGAGCAATAAGGTCTCCCCTCAGCCTCCTTGTCTCCAGGCTGAACAACCCCAGCTCCCTCAGCCTCTCCTCATAAGACTTGTGCTCCAGACCCCTCACCATCTTTGTTGCCCTTCGAATGGCCCAGAGTTTCTTATTGCGAATGTTATTTCAGGACTGCACCACCACGTGATGTTGGGCAAGACATTTCTTTCCTCATTTCTCCCCACATGGGCTTACTGACTGTAGCTGGGTGAGGAAGATTATAGCAATTAATGTTCGTACAGCATTTTGGATGTTAAAAGCCACTGTGACATAACTGTTACTCTTTGGGGGTATGCTGCAGTGTGGCTGAGCTTGGCCTGAACAGTTGGGAGGTCAGGAGGGCACTACAACCCAGAAGCAATGGGCTACGCACAGAGATGGCCCAGTAGCCCTCTCGAAGGGCCATACTGTTGTTAAGTCACCGTCGGGGCAAACGTCCCCTTTAGCTCACTCTACTGGTGCGCTTATTTAGTGCATCAGCTGATGTGAGACCAACATGGAGGCAAAGACAGTCCCTCTAATATGGGAGAGCATTCAGTAGAGGGGGTTGTACTGTTTCTGTACATTGAGAACCGCTAAGATGTGATTTATTTTTTCATGCAATTATAAAAACAAAGTTTGCAGATTAATTCATCTGGCAGCCAAGTAATTCTGTAAGCATGAACTATGGATTATATGACTATTATTAGTTTAGAAGGTCATTATTTATCAAAATTAATTTGCTGTTTCTCTTGGGGTTTTTTGCAATTTGTCTTTTTATTTAGCAGTGGAGACATTTAAATCCATACAAGGTCAATTAAAAAATAACTTCTTCAACATTGCACTTCAAGGGCCACAACAGAAAAAAACCCAAACAAGCCAAAACCCAAATGGTAAATACCTGATTAAAAAAAAAGCTGCTTTTTGCCGATGAGCTCCAGAGTCTTTGTGGTGGGGCTGTGTTAGCTTATGATGTGTCTGGACTAACCATGATCTAAGGGAAGGCGTGATTATGGTACTAGCTGCTGTCGAAGCTGTAGTTCATATTGGCATGTTGCACTGTGTACAAAAAGGGTCTGTGTTTTGTGGCGTTTCTGTGAATATTGAAATTAGTTATTAGCTGGACACGGTAGCTCACATTAGAGTGCAGGTGACAAAGCATCAGTGGTGAAGTAAGCATCTTACTGAACCTGCTTCTGACAGCTCTGTGTTGATTTGGGAGGGAGACCTGGTGGCACAGAGCTTGAATAACTTCCTAAATTGTGCTGTCTTTAAAATTTGTGAGAATCAATGGGATGGCAAACTCCCTGAAAACATAATAAAGTCTCTCCATTCTAATGGCAAGTTTTAAACAGGAATATCCTTCTTGGCACAGTTATTTTGTTTGGAATGTATGTGATAACCCAAGGAACCTCTCTCCTGTGAAAGTGATGCTTGGTTTTTGAAATCAACATCACATTAGGAGTAGTAAGTTTCACTGGGCAAGTTACATGTAGTAGTTAGGCAGAGAAGGAAAGGAATTGGAAAGGAAAATCCCTTGGTTTCATTGCTATTAGTGCCTCAGCTTAAGCTGCCACAGGAAAGCCTGCTTTTGAAGTAAAATTTTGTAGCCTTGTGTCCCCACAGAACGTTTTCCAGTGAACTGTTTCCAGGAATGAGGTGAAGGCTGCTATGTGTAATCTCTTCTTTTTCACCACTTCGGTCGCTTCTCTGCACGCAGACTTTGGTTTTGGTTGCTGTCCCTATAGCTGTGACCTTTATGAGACCAGTCAGTTCATTAAATGAAAGATTGCTTCCTTAAACTAGTTTAACTTCCAAAATAGTTTAGAGGAGCCCATAAAAGCTGAGTCAAGAGTTGAATGTCTCTTTGTTTTCATTAATCTGCTTTTTAACATTTTCTGCATTGAATGTTACATCCTTTTTACTTTTAATTTGACAAATGTTGCAATGTGACAAACACATGAAAATTGGTCAGGGTTATATTTGAAGAATACAGTTGGTTTTTCATCTAATTATCTTTCTGCCTGCAGCTGTAGCCCTCTTCACCTCTGCATTAACTGCACCATATATTTTGTTGTTAAATAATATGCTCCTTGAGGCAGGGATCTTGCTTGTCAGGTTTATAAATCAGCAATTGCATGGGTTGCATACTGTAAATAACACTCGGAGAGAAGCTGCATACAGGGAACTTGGGTAAACACATCCAGCAGTTCATCTCCACTCTGTCCATGGATTCCTTCTGGCTAGAACTTGCTTTGCCCTTCATTAGATTTTTAACAACTTAATTAAGCAATCGGCTACATCTTTTCTACACTTGTAATTTTAGATGTTCTGGGGGTCATGTCAGCCTGTTGCTAGCAGAAGCAGCTCAACAGAAGTGAGCCTAGTACCTTCTGCTTTGCCAAAACCAAATCATTTCCCTGCTTGGCTTTTATTTCTCCTGTGAGCTCTCTAACTTCTCATAAACAACTGAAACATGCTGATGGGGATAATGCTTGAATTCTTTCTCTGCTAAGTCTCGTACACTTGATTTTGTGGTTTTGTTGTAGTTACTGGTGACTTCCAGTAAGAGTCCTAATAGCTTAGCAGACAGTAATCAGGCTGCAAGTTTATTATCTGTAGAGTTGCTTGCCTCATGGCAGAAAAGCAGTCAGCCTTTCTTCAGGGAGGGCTGAGGAGGCTGGGAATGATCTCAGCCCTAAGCTTGTTTTGATGGCTGGTTGTATTGACGAAAACACCTGTGTTCCAGCTCTGATTTAATAGCCTCTTGTCTTCATACTTTATTTTGCTTATCTCCTTTTCCCTGCCACTGTCGCTTGAATAGGATATATGTCATTTTGAGTCCAGAGCTGTCGTGTGCTGTTTGGGTGTCTGCTGTGCTCTGTCCAAAGGTGGGCACCTGGCAGAGGAGGGGGGGAGCTGAGCCCTCTCGGGCATCCTCAACTCACCTACCTGCAAAGCACCTTGAGAAACTCAGATGAAAGCAGCTGCTGTTATATTTTATTCTCCTTACTCCCTTGAGCATCTGGTAATTGCATGTTTGTTTTTATTCCCTTTTGATTTATGTTCCCTTTTGCTGCTGTGTTTCTGACAGATCCTCCTGACTGGGTTCCAGATGAGGTCTGCAGCTACTGCACTGCGTGCAAGGCTCCTTTCACAGTCATTCGCAGGAAACACCACTGTCGGAGCTGTGGCAAGGTAACGAATCAGTTAAACATGTGAGAAACTGTCCACCAAAGAGAACAGCAAGTACACGGGTACCACAGAAACTCAGCTGCACGGCAAAATGTGTGCGCTTGGCCAGGGTTTTCAAGTCACAAGTGTTTTTTTATGTCTTGGCTGTCAACTGCTCAGCTTAGGTTTAGGAAGTGGGGGGATGGTCTTGACTGGTGTATAGAAATAGGGATTTGTCTTCTAAAATGCAGAACTCCCTGTTGAGGTCCTGGCACAAACACCACAGATCCAGAGTCACTCTGGGCTACTGCTCTGAGTTTTTACAGGCCGCAGCAGCCCTGCACTGTGAGGGGTGATGCACAGCTCAGCTGCAGGGACCGTGTGTGCGTTTGCTTTTTGTTTTTTTCTCTAAACCTTTGCAGGAGGACCGTGGTGTGCAGGACTGCTGCTTTGCAAGATTGTGGGGGAGGAAGAGGGAGCGAGGGAGAATAAAGCAGTCATGTGCCTCAGGAAGCCAGAAATCTGCAATCCTGCTTCGCTTGCTTGCTGGTGTACAAGTTAAAAAGGATGAGAGTAGAGAAGCTGCTTTTGTTAACTTTATAGTGGACTTGCAGGAGTAGGAACTTTGGAGACATTCACAAATATTCCTCTAGACTTTCTTTAAAAGCCATGGGGACAGACGCTTCTTTTCCTCTCTGGTGGAGCTGCCATCCCTCTGGCCTGCAGAGATATAGGCCTGCTTTGACTAATGTCAGTGCCTGGGCTCCTGTGTCAGAGAGGCTAAGCACAGTCAGATTAATTAGTCATCGAGCTGTGAATTGCCTGCAGAGGGCTTTCACTTGCTGTGCTGAGGCGGGTGGTGTTGCTGATACACAAAAGCCCAGCATGGACCATCTCCTTTCCCCTCTCTTGAAATCAATTTTTGTCCCATCCAGTTCTTCAAAGGAACTAAATTGAAATCTCCCTCTTGTTTTTCAGATCTTCTGTTCCCGCTGTTCCTCTCACTCTGCTCCATTACCTCGTTATGGTCAGATGAAGCCTGTCCGTGTTTGCACTCACTGTTACATGTTCCATGTCACTCCTTTCTATAGTGACAAAGCTGGTATCTGACGTATTAAACTACTGGTGTGTCTTCTGGAGTCTTAACACGGACTGATATATTTGACCTAAGCCAAGAATTAACTTGAAAGAGGGACCCCATGAGGGCATGTAGGCTTTGACATCCATTATTATAAATTTTGTACAGACAGTTTTTATTGCATTTTACTAAGCTGCTAAAGGGAAGTATGAAGCGTCTGTAGCTCTAAAGCTACAGTACAGTCTTCCATAAATTTATAACATTAACGTTACGATGCCATATGCAGAACAAATGCACTGTGTGGAAGGAAAATAGGGCTCAGAGAATTGAAGAGGCATTGCTGCTTATCTTACATGCTAGGAACAGAGTAGCCAGTCAACTAGTCCATCCCAGCAAATCGATCCCAAAGCTCGGACACTTCTGTGCTCACTAGAATACCAGCATGGCTGTGGATGTCAGCTCGCTCCCTCCTGCTGCGGTTTAACTTTCTCATTAATAGATTTTTGCTACCTATGCTAGGATTACTTAAAGAAAAACTACTTCAAATCCATGTTCGTTATTTATAAAGGCAAAATTTTCTGTGAATTACATAGGAAGCACTGAGGGTCCTGAAGCAGTATATTTCTGTTGCCTTTCATTTACCGAGCAGAGCAATAACTCCAAGTTGTCTTCTAAAAATTAAGTTTTACAACTTCCAGTTCCATATTTTGGAGCTTTGGAGGTATTTATAATCTGCATCATTTATGCTAAATCCTGTTAATAAAGTTATAACACAGAGCTTTGGTTTCTATATCAGCATTTAAAACTTAACAAACTTCAGAGGAAATGGTTACCAAATGAATAAATTAATATTAAAATACATATTTTTTTGAAAGAGTTTAGCAGCAAAATTCACTAGATATGACAAATTGTTTCTCCCATACTGAGTTTTTTAAGTAGTTTTTAAAAGGCAAATACGTAATGATATATTCAGAAGGTTCTACAGCGTGGTCAGCCAGAGAAGGGTACTTGTTGTCCACATTTGGCAGAGTAACTGTGTAAAATATCGCATACTGTTACTTCACTCATGCTAACAACTCAGAAGACGTTTGTATTTATTTGTAACACCAGGGATTAATTTTTATCTCCACTTGGAGAGGAAAGAAATAAGACTCATGTGGATTCATGCTATGATCTTGCACAAACTATTTGCAGTAAGAGCTCCCTGAGCACTGAGGTTTCAAAGGTGTTTGGACAAGCTTTGAGTTAGCCACATGAAAAGCAAGACAGTGTGTGCTGTGGTTACAGAGGAAGCGAGATCAAGAGCTCTTCGCTGTATCCCCTTTCCTGCCTCGCAGTGTTACATGCTGTGTTTCAAAGTGATAAATACAAAAAAGGATGAGGAAGTTGTTTGCGGTATCGTGCTCAAGAAAGGTCGTCATTCAAAATGATAAAGCAAAATTGGCCAGTGTTGATTTTTTTTTTCTTTTAATTTATTTTTGGAGGGACATTCCCTTTGTGAAGTGGGTTAATATTCAGTGTTGATGAGCCATATAAGGGTACAACAGTTTGGCACTGCTGTCGTTTTGAATCGGATGAAACAGCTTCACTTAGTTTCTGTGTAATGCACAAGCCTTATGATGCTGTCTGTAGACAATGTCAACTATGGTGTGTTATCCTCACCTTATTTATTATTTTTTTTATTATTATTTCCCTGAGATCCTTCCTGTGGGATCCTTGAGTTAGAGTGTCAGCATTCACCTGAGTTTGGAAAGGCATGGGGTTGGGTGATTGGTGGGAGGTGGGTAATGTGGTGCAAGTAATGATACTTATTCAGGCTTAAATCTCAGGCTTCACATTGCAATGATTATTGCAGTTTTATTTTTAGAAAAAAAAAAAACCACAACAAATTTAATGCTTCTTTTATAGGATAAAAAAATACAACAAACTTCAATTGTGAAATAAATATGCACAAAAAGTTGCTTCTGTGGAGAAAAAAAAAAAGAGGATCTTATTTAATGGACTGAATATTTATTCAAGCTTGTTTTTATTTTGTAAATGCTGTAATTCAGAATCATTTCCATAAATATGATATTTAAAGATCTCAGACACTATAGTTTCTTATGTAAATACAGACTCCTATTTCTCTTACTGAAAAGCACAATGACTATATCAATACTAATATACATTTGCCTCAAGGAAGACTTTCATCTTGTAATCTCTTCAGATAATTAAAGTGTCAGGACTTTCTACTTCCATGTGCTGGATTGCTCTTTCATTTCGGGGTCTGTTTATGTGGAGTGACAGCTGCCATCCTGTCAAACATGCTGGCCTCCAGTCCTTCTCACTTTGCAGATAATGTGAAAGAAATGAGTTTAAGTTTGAAAATGGAAGTCTCCCATATGGAGAAGGGATGGTGAATCAAAGCTGGAGTACTACCCTGTCACTTTAACGTTGCCTTGTGCTATCTCTTGCTACCAGAGGCAAATCTCCCTTCCCAAAATACCTTGTCTCAGTGACCAGCTCACACATGAGGCAAATTTCATCTGCCTGTGCCAAATCTGAATAATCTTTTCTGTGGGGGATACAGATCTGCGGTGAAAATAGCGCTCCTTAGGTCTACCTGTACAGTTATTCTTACGAAGCATCAATGCCCAGTGCTGATTTGCTCTGCTCCTTGTCTGAGACAGAACTGTTGCAGTTTTTGTGATTTTTTTTTTTTTATTTTCCAGAGGACTTAATGCATGGCTTTGTGATGTCATTTCACTGAAGACAAAAGATGTTACAACTCTGTGACATTAGGGTCTCAGCTTCTGTGGTGCAACAACAGGAAAATTTTATGGGAAGCCTGCACACAAGCTTAAGGTTGCATTTGAATTAACATACATAGTATTTATGGGCAAGTAATGCTGCCTTAAGGTGTGTATAAATAAATGAACAGTGGAAATTTATGCTAAAGGGACTTTTAAAATGAAATCTACATCGCTTCAGGGTTTTGAGGGAAGAAGGGGGATCTCTTTTTCTCCAAACCACAACAATATGTTCCACAGCAGTTTTCTTGTTGGGAATACCGCAAGGGGAGTGATATGGAATAATAAGGTAAGAGCAACATTCCCAAAGCGGGCAGTAATTCGCCTGCTATTGGACTCTGCTGTGTGACACCTTCCCTCTGAATCAAGGTAGTTTTCAGAAAAAAATAATAATTTACAGTAAACTCTGAAGTGATCCTTCCTAGACCTGTACAAATCCTGCAGTGCTTTCTGCTCTCTCCAGGTTTGTGAAGGGGGGTGGGATATAAAAGGAACTTGAGTAAAAAAAAAAAAAGTATCTCTGCTTCCAGAGAACCTCCTGTCCAGAAAACTCAAAAACACGTATAAGTGGCCGCATGGCAGCTCAGTGAGGAAGAAGGTGGGTGGAAGCAATGGAAGAGGAAAATGACCTTGTGTGTGTTGTCTTACCTGGGAGGAAGGAGGAGGAAAACGGTGTGCATCCAGGTGTGGTGGTGCCTATGCACGGTGGAGGGACAGGAAAGGTGGGCTGGGAAGTGGTGGAAGTCAGAGACTTGGCTGGAGGAAATATTCAAATATAGCTCCATCACAATCCTGCCTGGGAGCTGGAGGAAACCACCAGCGTTCTCAGTGTCTCGTCCCCAGCTGAACTCGCTGTCAGTTTATGCAAAGTCAAAGCTGCTGGGTCTGCATCATCCGGTTTCCGTGGCAACCCCCGATAGCATCTCTCCACCAAGTGCCAAGACTGCAGCACTCCATTCCCGCACAGGTAGGCACGGAGGCTTCTGCTTTCTGCTTCGTCAGAGGGATTGTGATTGCTCAAACATCTTTATTTGTAATGGAGATTTATGCTGCAGAGTCAGATGCTTGCTCTGAACTCTATTTACTGATGAGAACACTTTACTGAATTACGCTTTATTTATGTTGCTTGTCTGAAAGAAATCTCTTCTGTGGGCATTCTTTTGACTACATTTGAGGGTTCTTCAGGTACTTTTCTTTCTCCTCTTTCACCCTTTACTCCACCCCATCACCCAGTTTTCAGTATCTCCTGTGTCTAAAATAGATGTAGCCGCCTTGGGTGTCTTCCAAATAGTGAAATATTAGAGGCAATATTGGACAGTTCAAGGAGATTTCATCCCTATTGCTTCCTGATCTTGCCCTTCAAGTTCCTGGGCTCAGGCTCATTTTAAATCTTCCTTTGGTGTCCTTGTGCCTGGAAGAACATCCTGCTACATAGGTCTGTCCTGCCTGCCTGAGCTGCCGTGAGTCTTGCACCAAGGTGTTTAAAGTCCTGCAGTGTTCCTTTACTTTGTGGAGGAGAAAGGATGGATAATACTAAATCCTGGGGTTTGATAGCTGCTAGTAAATTATAGATATTGCAAAGGCTCATTTTTATTTTTCATTGGCTTTTTTCTTTGGTCTTAACCTCCCCAAAAATGGCAAAATATTAGGCCAGAAGGATGAAGAGGAGAAGACTTGTTATAGCAAATCTGGAAGTGTGAAGTTGATGTTTTAATGAAATAATTGGTCTCTTTGAAAACAAGCTGTAACTGCATGCGCTAGGAATGCTGGGGCTCATGCATTAAACAAACTGGCCAATTAGTCTTCCATGAACTCATTTCATTTCTTGTTTTCACTAAACACGAAGGCTCTGAAGTATAAAGTACGATTCCCCCCCCCACACTCCATGTTTTACTCAAAGGCATGAAGTTGATTTGTCTTCTCTTCGGTTCTTCTCTGCGAACAACTGCTGGCCTGTTCAGGCCATGACTGAGCTTGTCTGCAAAGGAGAAAATTCTCCTGCATCTGCAGTGATGCAGCTGAGGGTGGGGGACACTGCAGCAGCAGCAGTGGGTGGCTGAGTGTGCCCCTGGGCACCAGGCTGTTGTTGTGGGGGCTGCTGCTGGTGTCCAGCTGCTGAGTGATGCTGAGTCTGCTCTTCCTCACGAGCGTGAGATGCCTGGCACAGCCCGGGATGCGAGGGGTGGCAGAGCCAGCCAGCCTGCAGCTCTGTAACTACCTCAGATACTTTATTTCCTAAAAACAACCCTATGCGAGACACTCGTACCGCTCAAGCAAGCACTGAACTCATGTCTTCCTCTAGAAAGTCTTATTTACTTATTATTGTAGTTTTACGTAGTTCTTCACAGGACAATAAAATGTTGTTCCCACCATGGCTTTCTTATTCACTGAGCTAATAAGAAAAAGGGACTAACGCTGCAGCAGAGAGGGTGTTTAAGGTGACTGCTTTCTAGTAGACAGCTTTTGGTTTTTTAGCTGGACTTAGGCTGTGGTACCGATGGGCTTGTCAGTACAGGGGAAGGTGCTGAGAGGAAGTAGTCCTGAATAGCTTTTGTGCTGGTAACTAACTTCTCTCTGATGTCCCGTGTTGAAAATGTCCATTTTTCTGAAAGCATGTCTGAAAATGACTCTGAAGTGCCTCAGCCTTTTTTGGACAGTTTGGAGCATGCCATCCCTCCTCCTTCAGGGGCTGGGACGGTGGCTCCACCTTGGGCTGTCCCAGACCAAGTCATGAGAAGCTGAGTGGGGGCAATGTCCTGAGCAGAGAGTCTCTACTGGCTTGATTAGCAAAGGACATGTACTGTCTCATCTTCCTTTGCCTTTGGGGAGCCTCTCAGATCAAATTTTGAGGCATTTGATAGATTTTTTTTTTTTTTTGGCCAAGACCATTTGTGATTGTAACTTCATTAGCAGCTTTTCTGTTTATCATACAGCAATAGAGCCTGCTGGTTTGGGGTGAGTTTGTTTTCTGTAAAATTAGTTTCACTTTCTTTGGTTTATCTGTAGAAAGCTGGAAATTAATAATTATAGATATAAACAGAAAATCATCACTTCTGTAAGCTCATAAATGTATTTAAAAGGGAACTACTCTGTGGTGCCTTGGCTCTCAAACACTGGGAGATGGCACAGAAAAAAAAGTGAGTCTCAAGTAGTTCAAAAGTTCTGGCTGATGGTCTCTGAACTGTCTGCTTCTGTCCTCTGTACTTCTTGTAGCTACTGGAAAGGGTGATGTGGATGGATGATCTCTGGGGGAACAAATGGTGGATGGTCTCTTCAGTGGGGAAGAAAAATGAAAGGTTTTACCTAGTAATTGTAAATGATTCCTCTAAAATTACTCTTTTTTTTTTCTTTTAAACAAAAAGAAAGGGAATATGCTGCAGTCCCCATGTATCTGCACCTCAGTTCAGATAAAAAAAATCCAGCTAAATTGGTCCAAGTGTGTTGGAAAAGAATATAAAGTTGCCACATGTTCAGTTCAGCATAGAGCCTCCAATTCCCACATTTTTGGGAGCTGGTTTCAGGTCAGGATATCAATGTTACTGGGAGAATAAACTAGGAAAACCTTGGCTAGCTGTACTCCTGAAAGATTTTCTCCATCACATTTGCTCCTCACGGTCTAATTGCTGTCTCTTCTTAGTTTTTCTTTTTAAAGGAATAATATCGATGTTAGACTTTAAACTGAGTTTCAGGGAAAATACTTCTGTATTTCTTTCCCATGGTGGGTGTTTGAAACATGGCTGGTTTTCCTGCTTAAAAACAGTCAACTGTGATTCGAGTCAGTCTCAAAAATTTATATTGTGAAAAGCTGAGGTTCTGGGTGCAAACTTATTTAGGTGCTGCTTCTACACAAATTGGACTGGAACAAGAGCCAAGTGCTTGCTGCAGTGCAGGAACCGAAAAGTCAGGCTGGTGTAAAGTGGGGAGGATTAAGGGCTGCTTAGGAAGAGGCTTGATGGTGCTTATTAAAAACACCTGGGTAGAGACCCAGCCGGGATGAAGCAGCCCTGAGCTGGTGACCAGGAGCAGCTGAGCCCTGGCCAGGCTGAAGGGAGAAGCCGAGGAGCGACCAGCCCAAGGGGATGTTTTTTTCCCCCATTGTTTTGCTAAAATCAAGTCCCAGAAGGAAGACAGATGTTTTCTTACCTACTGCATTCAAGATATTTTCAAGGTAGGTGTGCTACTTCTGTATTCTCACCCGGTATTAGGTGGAGGGGGACAGCGAGAGGCTGTTGTCTTTTTGCTTGTTGTTTGTTTTTTTAGTTTTTTCTAGTTGCTTACCGCAGTAAGAAATGAAAAGAAAAAAATAGGAAAAAAGCAGTCCTTTTTTAAAAAGCTCAAATTCCCATTCATGCAACAAATAATTTTCATAATGTGATCTAATTGCATAATGCAAATAAATACCAGTCATTAAATAACATTAGTTTGGTTTTAAACAGAAAAAT